GGGTGGAGGGGAGCTATGGGGGGAAAAAAGAGGAACAACTGTAATAATCTGAACAATAAAGATTTAATAATAATAAAATAAAAAACATACATGCAATAGAATGGAGATCACCTGCACAAAGCTATAAACTACTTCTTGGTCCCTTCTAACCCTTCTCTAGAAGCAGAACCCTACATCCTCCACTAGCACTATCTGTTTTACTCCCCCCCGTACCTCCACCCATGATTGCCTACAGTAGCCTAATTTCTCCTCCCCACCCCATGCCATCTTCCCCAGTCTCCCATCTGACCACAGAAGAGTATTACCCATTGTGGCTCTCCTCAGCATACCTAAAATTTAAAATATCTGTTCTATGTTATATTCTCTCAGAACCATGTAGAACTAATCAACTAGCTCTAGCAGAAGTTACCCTTCCCAGGTATGCCTGCATATTAATTAATAGTGAGCATCAGCCAGAGAGCAACTGATTTTAGGGAAAGTGAGGCAGAATCATGGTGCAGTGAAAGCAACACTAGACTTGAGGGTCATGTGTCCTTGATCTTATTCAGCCTATGTGACTTGGGGCAAATCAATTCACCTCTCTGAGTCTCAACTTCCTTAATTTATTTTTTTTTAAGTGCTATAACAGTTGATCTTTCCAGATCTAACATCCTGCAGTATTCCACCATACAATGCTGCTTTTCTGATTTCCATCCCCTCAGAACTTGGTGTACTGGGTGTGTTGAACTGTAATGTCTGAGAAAAATAGAATGTAAGCCACATGTAATTTTAAACATTCTAGTAGCCCCACAAAAAAGTAAAAAGAAACAAGTGAAATTAATAATAGATTTTATTTAACCCAATATTTCCAAAACATTATCATTTCAACATGCAATCAATATAAAAATTGAGTTTCCATTCTTTTTTTAGTACTAAGTCTACAAAACTTAGTGTGTATTGTACATTTAAAGAACATCTTGATTTGGACCAGCCACATTTCAAATGCTCAAGAGCCACACATGGCTAATGGCTACCGTTTTGGCAGCACAGGTATAAGTCTAAGAGGAAGTCCTCCTTTCACTCCTGACCTTTTTAAGCCCAGAGTTGAAGACTGACATGAGTGCTAGCCTGCATCCTGAGAAAAGTCAAAGTCATCAGAGAAGTTCTGGTCTGAGTTTCTTCTCTGACTAGGAAGGTAGGAGGGCAAAGTTCAGGACAAACACAAAATAGAAAACCTAGGAGGCTGCAAGAACAACAATAATGAGGAACTTCAAGGAGGGACAGAAAATGAGTTGGGCATGGTCAGGTTTTCTTTATACTCAAGGTTTTCCCAATACAAACCCCAAAGGCACACAGAGCTCCTATCATATCAGTTATATCAATTCATTCCTTTAAACATCTCTGAACACCTAACTCCTAGGCACTTGGCTGGGCAATGGAGATGCAGTTACCCTTCAGGAGAGCTCTCGATTGGGTCAGGATGACATGTTAAACACCTCAATTATTCATTCAAAGTGAAATAAGAACTCACTTATAGATGAGAACACTGAGGCTGAGAGAGGTTCGATCACTTTTCTACAGTCACACAACCAGAGTGGTGGAATGAGGATCCAAACCTGACTCTTAAACATGGCATTGAACCATACTTCCCAGTTTTAAAGAGCTCATGGTCCTGGAGGCAACAAAAAATGTCACAACTATGAGACCATGGAGTCACTACCACAAAAGGACATGAAATAGGGGCTGGAAGCAGGGGGCATTAAGATTCCCAGGGGTAACCTTGTGTGAGTCTGAAAGGTTGAGGAGCTCACCAGGTGAAGTTTTACTCCCCCCCGTACCTCCACCCATGATTGCCTACAGTAGCCTAATTTCTCCTCCCCACCCCATGCCATCTTCCCCAGTCTCCCATCTGACCACAGAAGAGTATTACCCATTGTGGCTCTCCTCAGCATACCTAAAATTTAAAATATCTGTTCTATGTTATATTCTCTCAGAACCATGTAGAACTAATCAACTAGCTCTAGCAGAAGTTACCCTTCCCAGGTATGCCTGCATATTAATTAATAGTGAGCATCAGCCAGAGAGCAACTGATTTTAGGGAAAGTGAGGCAGAATCATGGTGCAGTGAAAGCAACACTAGACTTGAGGGTCATGTGTCCTTGATCTTATTCAGCCTATGTGACTTGGGGCAAATCAATTCACCTCTCTGAGTCTCAACTTCCTTAATTTATTTTTTTTTAAGTGCTATAACAGTTGATCTTTCCAGATCTAACATCCTGCAGTATTCCACCATACAATGCTGCTTTTCTGATTTCCATCCCCTCAGAACTTGGTGTACTGGGTGTGTTGAACTGTAATGTCTGAGAAAAATAGAATGTAAGCCACATGTAATTTTAAACATTCTAGTAGCCCCACAAAAAAGTAAAAAGAAACAAGTGAAATTAATAATAGATTTTATTTAACCCAATATTTCCAAAACATTATCATTTCAACATGCAATCAATATAAAAATTGAGTTTCCATTCTTTTTTTAGTACTAAGTCTACAAAACTTAGTGTGTATTGTACATTTAAAGAACATCTTGATTTGGACCAGCCACATTTCAAATGCTCAAGAGCCACACATGGCTAATGGCTACCGTTTTGGCAGCACAGGTATAAGTCTAAGAGGAAGTCCTCCTTTCACTCCTGACCTTTTTAAGCCCAGAGTTGAAGACTGACATGAGTGCTAGCCTGCATCCTGAGAAAAGTCAAAGTCATCAGAGAAGTTCTGGTCTGAGTTTCTTCTCTGACTAGGAAGGTAGGAGGGCAAAGTTCAGGACAAACACAAAATAGAAAACCTAGGAGGCTGCAAGAACAACAATAATGAGGAACTTCAAGGAGGGACAGAAAATGAGTTGGGCATGGTCAGGTTTTCTTTATACTCAAGGTTTTCCCAATACAAACCCCAAAGGCACACAGAGCTCCTATCATATCAGTTATATCAATTCATTCCTTTAAACATCTCTGAACACCTAACTCCTAGGCACTTGGCTGGGCAATGGAGATGCAGTTACCCTTCAGGAGAGCTCTCGATTGGGTCAGGATGACATGTTAAACACCTCAATTATTCATTCAAAGTGAAATAAGAACTCACTTATAGATGAGAACACTGAGGCTGAGAGAGGTTCGATCACTTTTCTACAGTCACACAACCAGAGTGGTGGAATGAGGATCCAAACCTGACTCTTAAACATGGCATTGAACCATACTTCCCAGTTTTAAAGAGCTCATGGTCCTGGAGGCAACAAAAAATGTCACAACTATGAGACCATGGAGTCACTACCACAAAAGGACATGAAATAGGGGCTGGAAGCAGGGGGCATTAAGATTCCCAGGGGTAACCTTGTGTGAGTCTGAAAGGTTGAGGAGCTCACCAGGTGAAAAGGGGGAAGGAAATGGACCTTCCACAGGGAACAGCAGAAGTGTGAAGGAGCATTCAGTATTCAGAAAACTGGTTGGTGGGGCAGCTAGAGGGCAGTGTGCATAAGAAATAGAGGCCCCACATGAAAGTGGAGGTATGAGCCAAAACCAGTGCATAAGGGGCCTGAAATTCCATGAGGAACAATGTAGGTTTTATACTATGGGTCATGGGAAGCCTTAAAAATTTTGTCTAGGGTAGTAAACAGGACCAGATTTTCATTTGAAGAAATCATTCTAAAGGAGAGATCTCAAAGCTTATGTGTCACCCTTCCTCTCCTAGGGTTGTTAACTCTATTAAAAGTCCATGTGTAAAGGCTAAGATTTGTTTCCTAGAGTTGGATCACATCTAGGGACTTAATCTCCCAATGGCCTGTGAAGTTTACTTCTCTACCCATGTTACTAAACAGAAGTTGTTGACTTGCAATTCTTGAAAATCAACCCACAAAAAGCTAAAAGCACCTCCTTTATTCCTGGCATCAGCACTGACAGAGTTCCTGGCAGAGGATGGTTTGCTTGGCCAGCTCCTGCTGGAAACCTTGCATAATCTTGATGGCACAGTAGTATTTTACATTTACTTGCACAGAAACACGTAAGATTCTTGTGGCCAGTGACAGAAAACGCTGAAATATTTCAGGTGCTCAAATTCTGAGGCCCCATGTCTCCTCCCCGTAACAAGGAATAAAATTGTTCACTGCCTTCAAAACCCATGTCTCCCCTCTCCCCAGCCCCCTCTGCACATCCCTTCCAGGTCTCCTGATTACCCAGTTCCATTTTCAGTTCATCAACCTCTAAGGCTGGCCTACTTTTCAAGGCCACACAAGCATATTACATTGTACAATTAGGTAAGAAAAACATCTGCATTATACAAATAATAGATTATAATTAGAACAGGATATTGAAAGGGGGAAACCAGCAAGTGTCCACCAGAAAGCAAGGATACAGGCAGAACTGGTAAAAAAAAAAAGCCATTAGACAAAGTACAAAAATACTACTGCATCGCAGGGGCAAGGGCTTGACAAGAGGGAAAGAGACAGCAGCAATACTGAGTGTAACAGAACAGGAGCTGGCCACTGACCGCCCGAAAACCAAGCTGAAGCCCAAGAGCACCAAGCAAGATCACTTTACCCAGTGAGAAGAGCGAAGCAGACTCATTTTGTTTTCGGTAATCACCTGGGTGGTTCTGAAAGTCATGCCCTGGTCTGAATAGAGAGTGGGCCCAGGCAGTTTCGAGTCTATTGCAAAACCATGGAAATTGAGTGCAGATAAACAACCAGGCCAGATCCATGAAGAGGAGCATAAGAGAGAAAAGAAGAGGCCCTCTCAGGTGGCACTCTGCCTAACTAAAGGCCTGGTCCAAGGGTAAGATGTCCAAGGGGTTTTTCTGAACTTCCAGCTTCATTCACACCCTGACCTAAAAAATCAACCCCTTGCCTTTGTCAAGAAGATGGAATGTTTCATGGACACACTATCCATTCCCAAACCCCTCCTTAACAAGGCATCTCTGGGTATAAGAGGGGACTGTTCTGGAGGACTTGTGCCCTCTAGCCCCACTTTGTTTCCATATGACCTGACACCAGCCAAAGTGGGAGAGCATTTGGGTAGCAAGACAGTTCATGTGGGGAAAAAAAGAGACATATATAATACTCTTTGTAATACTTTAAGCAATAAAACAAAAATTAAAAAAAATACACGAATTGGATTAGCTCTTCCTAGAATTAGGCTGGCCCCACTCCCATAGGGGCCCAGCCAGCAACAGGAAATTGGTGCCATGGATGAGTTATGCTGCTGTGGGAAGTGGAGAGGCTGAGGTGAGTGGGAAAGACCACTTAGTTACGGATGGAGAGCTAGTAGAGAGAAGAAAACATAGCCTCCCGGATCCAATGGAAGAGCTGAGCCAGCTTGCAGAGGAAGGGCCGGGAAGAAGGAGACGCTGGATCAAACCTCACCACCAAGAGGCAGAGAATCAAGGTGGCCAGGAGGCTCTTTTTGAAGGGCAGGGAAACGAAGTGGCTCACTGCAGAGTCCCAAAGCCGGCGAAGCAACATATGTAGTGACAGAAACTTGTGGAAGGAGTCTTCCTGGTTTAGCTTCTGGACCTTCTCAGAGTCAGAGTGTTCATCTCAACACAGATTTAAAGCCCAGAGGAGGAGCGTTGAGGTGATCTCACAGCAACTCCTAGAGGCCCTGCCCTAGGTGCCCAAAATCCCTTCTCAGTATAAACAGTGGGTTGTTTCTGTTATTTTTATTTTTTACAATAAGAAAATCTAAGTAATATTGCTTAGGAGTACCAGAAACTGCCTCATTGGAAACAAGAACTATTTACATTAAATAAAAACCCGGTTGCAGGCTGCGTCTGCACATGTACAGCACGATGAAGCACACTGGGACCGACCATGGAGACAGCTTCTGGCACTCACACCACAGGGGCACATCTGCCACATGAGAGGAAAGCAAGGGTGAAGGAGGGAGTGCGGGGGAAGAGAGGAGTTCGGCTTCTGGTTTCGGAGCTGATTGGACAGCCAGTCCAGTCCCTCATAGAGCCCGTCCCCACTGGTGGCACAGGTAGCCTGAATGGACCAGTTCCTGTAGCACAGAGAGTGGCGGCCCAGCTTGTCTGTGATCTCAGCTGCATTCATGACATTGGGGAGGTCCTGCTTGTTTGCGAACATGAGCAGGACAGCATCCCTTATCCTCTGCCAGCATCCACATAAGCTTCTCTCGTGCCTTGTTCACATGCTATCGTTCATTGGTGTCAACCACACAGATGAGACCTTGTGTGTTCTGGAGGTAGTGGCGCCACAGAGGCCAGATATTGTTCTGGTCACTCAAGTCCCACACAGTGAAGCTGATGTTCTTATACTCCACAGTCTCCACTTTGAATCCAGTGGTGGGGATGGTGGTCATGATCTTACCCAGTTTCAGTTTGTACCGGATGGTGGTCTTCCCCGCAGCGTCCAGGCCCACCACGAGAATGCGCATTTCTTTTTTGCCAAAAAGGCCCTTGAAGAGGTTC